CGGAGACACGGTCCGACATGGCACTGTGCGCGGAAGATGAAGCTGGGCTCTAACTGTGAGCGCTGTCGGACCCAGCGAGACTTGGAGACGTCGGTGTCATTGACACAGGGCTCATTGAGAACAGAAGTCGTTTCGTTCCAACGCAGTGTCTAACGGACACGCAAGCCTCGTTAGAGCAATAATCGATTGGATTTGTAAATGTTCTCAATCTTAATGGGGGAGAGTTTATTGGGGTTACACATACCTTGGTAACAGGTGTGTGTGTCACACCAGATGGGCATGGTGTGACCACACCACAACAATAATACGGTACGGGGCTGGATAGCCAGTGGTTATACATGTACTTAGACTTCACTATACATATTTAGGATAATCTATGTATTTAAAATTAGGCGGCTTTGCCGCAGATATAAATAAATAAATTCAGTTTGGATTTAAACGGAAGAGTTATTTAACCTTGGGCTAAGTTGTCATTACTTTTGGAGCAAGCGAATTGCGATCCGCTAAACTCGTACTTGTTCTAAGTATTGAACGAAAGGTCGGTGACCTAACTTACGCTTCCTCTAAGCGCAAAGCAACGGCAGCCCCGCTGCAATTCCTACATCGTGCTTGGAATCATAAAAGGCGTCAATGACGTCACACTGCCACTTGGGCAGAGGACATTGGAGTGAACGCAGTATTTGGCTCACGATACCAGGTCGATTCCATGGCGCAGACCAGGACCGACGGCGGGTCTTTAGAGACGACGCCTTCCTTTGTAAAAGTATAGTACAGATCCGAGAGATCCTTCACGATCGATGATCCATGCCGTGCGTTCAGCACCCTCCTGGTGTCCTTCAGGACAGTTGTAACAAGAAGCGGAGACGAGTTGATAGCCCTATATGGTCGTATAATGACCATTTTGGCTCAATCGCCTGCCTTCGAGGCACCACCAAACACTTTGAAGGACATATCGTCAAGCTCAAGACGAGTGCCCACCCCAGGAATAGCCTCGATGGTGACGTCACTGTCTTACGTTCCCGTCATACCGTTGGCAAGGATGTATAGCTGTGCGCTTTCGTCTACGGTAGACACACCTTGGGTCAGGATCGACGTCCTGCGCCTTGCAGATAACCTAAATCGCCGTCCTCTCTCCACAGAGGCTTCACGGCTCATCGAGACTAGTGGGAACACGCACTCAGGTCGTCTAGTGTCCTCACCCCCTGCTCCATCGGAACCTTGATTATATTGATAGAGAAGAGCTGATATGTCCGCAGTCTTCGTTCACTGGATAATGAGCCACTCCTCGCCCATCGGAAGGGCCTTGGCCAAGATGCCTCAGACCTCGTCTGACCATACCACTCTTGGCATGCAGCAACTGCTTCAGAATGCGAGCAGTGCAAAGGGTTTTTTGTGCCAATCCACGCGAATCACTAGGGCCTAACCCTCGATGCCACGGACCTCGTCCGACCATGCCACTCTTGTTATGCAGAAACTGCTTTGTTACTTGGGCAGTGCTCAGTGGATTATGTGCCACTCCAAGTGCATCCCGCGAACCATGCTCGGGACTCTTATCTGATACACCTTCGGAGTTCAAAAGCTGAGATACTCCGATACCCAGCAGATTGACCGTCCTGGTCCAGTACCCGCGCCAATAGCGCATCTGCTTCTTAGCTGTGGTGTGTTCATGACTCACCATAGCTCTACCAGGAGACGTGCACGTTGCGCCAAATGTCTTTGCCTCCAATCAATCCATGGCTCATGGTGTTCTAACCATGCCATACCAAGGATAAGGTCATACCTTGCATCCAAGTTTCAGACTAGGCGGCGTTCCGCGCTATCGAAGTAAAAAAACTTGACACCGAGGTCCACAGGGACCCTCGGCCCAGTGACACAAGTCCCCGACGCAAAGCAAACAGTGCGGTGTCACCCAGCCACGCTTCCGGTGTCTCAACATACAGCTGACTTCCTTCGATTGTGGAGCGTCGAGCATAAATGCCCGACGCCCCAGAATCGATCAAGATCGTTCATGGCATCTCAAAGCCCTTAACGGTCGCTTTTACAACCAGCAAGCCTGGCTTGCACACACGTTCCGTGTTCAAGAGCAAAGAGCTCTTAAACTGGGCTCTGCTGCCCTCAACATCTTTGAGGCACAACAGAACTCAGTTCATCTCCAGTAGGGCGCCAGAAGCATACTGTGTATTCTCGTTTTCCCGCGGCAAATCAGACTGGCTAGAAGCGGGACGTCGGTTTGACGAAACTTTAAGTGTCTTGCGCAGAGACAGCCAGTCCGAAGGTGACAAGTTTCTCCACAGACAAAACACCATCGGGTGTTTAAACGCTGCTCAGCAGCTCGGAGCTCACCTTCCTCCTTCTCAGCATAGCTGAGATCAATTGGCTCAGGCTTGCTCGACGAGCTCTGAGGTTGGGCATTCCAACCAAGTCGGGTCGACTTAAAGTTGGATTTGGCATCTAATGCCACGTTCACCGTTTCTTCAAAAGAAGACGGATGCACACGAAAGCCTTTCATTTTGTCCACACCAGTGCGGAGGCCCTCCATATAGAGGGTCACTGCGACCTCATCTGCTGCCAGAGTACTCAACTCTAGGAAAAAGTCCAACAACTCCTTATTGCCCTGTTGGGCGGCAAAGAAACGCGATCTCAGGCGATATACCTCGGCCTCTCTCATCCTGAGCAGAAATTTCTCTCTTTCCTCAATCTCGAAGGTCTTAATGCTCACCATGAGTAGCCTGGGTCGGGAGGAATCATCCGTCGCCAACGGTGGCGTCATGGACGCAATCGACACTGAAAGCTTTTGATGGCGGTGCTTTAACAAAGCATTTTCATAACTTACTCGGTTCCTTTCGCAACGAGGTGCTCCATGCCCTAAGGGCCCAGCAGGGACATCAACTTATTAAGCCCGTCCTGCATGCCCTAAGGCAAAAAGGAGTATTCCCCAATCCTCACAGAAAATCAGTCGTAACGACTCAGGCATAGATTCACTACGAGTGCTACCAAAGGCAGCGGGACTGCCGTAGCCCTTTGCTTAGATAGAGTAAGGCTAAGGTCACTGACCTTACGTTCTTCTAAGGAACTTGTACGAGTGTTCCGTCAACAGGTATCCTTGAAGCTCTCAAAACCGTAGTGATAGGCAGTATCCGTGTTTAGAAACATCAGACCAGACATGATGCCGACTGCGTTGCTCTATGTATTTGTATCCACGACGGTCGATATTGTCTTTCGGCTCACAATCTACCGCTTACGTTGTCAAAAACGCAACTCACATCAATTTAATCATGCCCATCAGAAATCACCATTGCTTTTGACTCAATAAACGATAATATATTGATTGTGGTCTACTGCGAGCCGTCTGTAAGCACATCCCCGTCTACATGCATCGTTGAAGCTACGAGTGCTACCCTGTGCAGTGGGGCTGCCGTAGCTCTTTGCTTAGAGGAAGCTAAACCAAGGTATCCGACCTGACGTTCTTTTCGAGAGCGGGATTAAGTCTAGCGGAATCGCAACCCGCTACTTCTAAGTATTAAAGCCTCAACCAAGGCCAACGAACACTTCGGTACAAAGACACGAATCTTTATTTATTTGTTTTGTCGATATCCTCTCTCAGCTCACAATCTACCGCCCATGTTGTCAAAAACGCAACTGACATGAAATGAAACCATGTCCATAAAGAACCATAATTGCTGTCGAATCAAATGATGCGGACACTTGATTGAGGTTTACTGCAAATCGCCCATGTAGCCTAGAACGCAATATACATTATCTAAAATCATGTCTTTTACCAATCATCATTGCTGCTAATTTAGATCGATATGAGCACTTTACATCAAACCGTCGTAAGCGCATCTCCGTCTACATGCATCCTTGTAGCAGTCAAAAGCGTTAGTGATGAACGCTGTCCATGCAACATCAGGACATATACGATATCGACTGCGTTGCTCTATTCGATCGTATTTTGAAGATCCACAACGGTCACTATTCTCCATCGGCTCACAATTAACCACCTGCGTTGTCAAGAACGAAATACACTTGAAACAAAATCAAGTCCATAAGCAATCCTCATTGCTGTCAATTCAAATGGATACGTACACTTTAATGGGGTCTGCTTGTAACTGTCTTAAAGCGCATCTGCGTCTTCATGCATCCTTTGAAGCTTAAAAAAGCGTAGTGGTAGACACTGACCATGCTTACAACATCAGATCGGACGTGATATCGACTGCGTTGCTCTATTTGTTCGTGTCTTGACGATCCACGACGGTCGAAATCCTCTATTGGCTTACAATCAACGCCAACGCTGTCAAGAACACAATACACATCAAATGCATTCATGTCCATTATCAACCACCATTGCTGTCGATTCAAATAGATGCGAGCACTACATCGTGATTTATTGCAAACATGTAAGCGTATCTGCTGTCTTCATGCATCGTTGTAACTGTCAAAGTGTAGTGATAGACAATGTCCATGTTCAGCAACTTCAGGTCAGACATGATGTCGACTGCCTTGCTCAATTTAATCAAATCATGACGATCGCGACGGTCAATATCCTCCAGCAGTTCACAATCCACCGCCCGCGTTGTCAAGAAAGAAATACACATCAAGTGGAATGAAGTCCATCAGCAATCTTCATTGCTGTTGATTCAAATAAATACGAACACCAGAATGTTGACTACTGGAAACCGTCCGTAAGCGCATCTTCATCTTCATGTATCCCTGAAGCTGTCAAAAGTGTAGTGAAATATGGTGTTCATGTGTAGCAACATCATGCCAAACGTAATGCGGATTGCTTTGCCGCATTTGATCGTGTCCTCTAGATCCATGACGGTCGATATTCTCCAACGGCTCACAGTATGCTGCCCACATTATCAAGGATACAGCCTACATCAAACGAAATCATGTCCAATAACAATTGCCATTGTCATTTGTTGCGAGCACTAGCTATTATTGAATAGCGTCTTGTATTTGCTCTGTGTCGTCAATGCATCCTGTTGTTCAAAAGACAGATGAAGAAACCTCGACTCCCATCTCCATCCGTTACATATTACTATTTACCAGTAAGGACATTTTTGTGGACATTGCTATCACATATCGTAGTCTCGTTGATAAACCGCAATGTACATGGGTCTGTGATAGGGACCAAGGACGGGGAAGAGGAGGGCTATTTGCTGATTGGTACGTATATTAAGAATTCATTTGAACGATTATAGAGATACACTAGGACCTTCTAGGACCATCTAGAATATCTGGTACATCAAACAGACCCAGAGTAGCAAATAAAAATTGCGAACTAAGGATCTTATTTATATATGTTTTGGGCTGTGCCGACAAATAATCACATGTCATATCATTATCGAGTTCGAGCAATGTAGAGCTACACCGTCTGCAGCTTCTGAACATTGCTCAGAGCGAAGACTACTCTGGCAAAAAACTTTAATTGTTTCGTAGAATTAAAGACATCACTTATTCAAGCCATGTATCGCAGGCCGTCTCGGACACGACGCAGCATATGACGAACCTAAAGGAGTTCATGAATATTTTAAGGTTACGTCTACGGTTGACCTGCATTTTGAGAATAACGGCATCGTTCAAGGAGTGGGCACTGACGACATTACTATGAATATTACAATGAAACAAGTGACGTTGGTTTGAGATATCTTAAAACTTTCTCGCGATTTGGTCTCCATTGAATTTACCAAGTCATTTATAGATGCGATGGTTAGCTTGCAGAGACAATTGACTTTTGTTGATATATTGGTGCGTGTGGGAGCAAATGATTGTGTTTTAAAGTGCTTAGAGCCGATATAAAGAGATGAAGCTGATCTGACAAGCTCGTTGTGATGTCATGGATGCCACTTCGTAATCTGGCACTTCTACTAAATTAGTGTAGGTTACGACAGTCTTGACATTAGTGTCAGTACATTCTGAGATTGGTATTGGAGTTGCGAGTGAGCGGTTTGGCACGTTTGTGCGTTAGGCAAACTTGCTTGTGCAAGTTTTTAACCATAATTTCTCGAAGTGCTGCCAGACATCGGGAAGAAATTCACTGGTCCAAATTTCACTGATTCAGATTTGCTTCGAAACAATCCATAAATTGCTAGCAAGTTTGCTTCTTTAGATGCCTTTGCCGAAAGACAAACTAACAACATTGTCAGAGCAACTCTCTGCGATAAAGGCAGCAAACATGCTTCAAGAGAGATGACCAAGTTTTGTTCGCACCATGGTATTAAGTTTACACAGCTTTGTATGGCTCAGCCTAATTGGGTAGCTGAGCGCATAAATCAGACGTTGGTAAAGTGTGCTCGCAGTATGCTCAAGCACGCAAATAGTCAAAGAAATATACTGGGAAATCTATCTTTAATGTGCAGTATCACTTTTAGTAAGTACTCTGGATCGGAAGGAAGCCGGTTTTGTCGAACCTGAAACTATTCGGATTTCCTTATGTGGCAGTCTTTAAATAAAGTGGGCCAAAGTCGATGTCCGCGCAAGACTTTTACGCTTTGTTGGGTATTCCGACTATCTTGAGAAAGCATACCGGCCCCAAGCACTTGGATAGGTCGCCAATCAATCGAAAAGGTCTGGATAATAATAATCAATATCAGTCTCATTATCAAGCTGCTGAAGATCAACAACAGTTGTAGATGTGCGGTCAGACGCTGTTGACCAGCCGAAGAAACGAATGTAAATAAGGACAGTGAAATAAACAACAGCAAAGGACACAAAAGTACGCAGTATTTAGAGCAGCATTTATTTAAACAGACAGCAATGGCGGTAACTATTGACATGATCTTAATTATGCTGATAGCAATCGAGACCATATGGGCGACGTGTATCTATCGTCGTGGATCTGTAGCACAAAACTAATACGGCAAGCCTATAAACATTTTGTTATATATTGGTACCATCTATTACTAAGCTTGTGACAGCGACTACGATGCGTTACGAACGCAACGGCAATTATTGAGAGATATGAGTCTGTTTGATGTGTATCGCGTTCTTAACAGTGTAGGCGATAGATTGTGAGCCGAAAGAGGATATCGAATGTCGTGGATCGTCAAGACACGAACAGAACGTGCAACGCAGTTGACATCATGCCCGCCCTGATGTAGCAAACCATGGACACTGTCTATCACTACGCTAATGACAGCTACAAGGATGCATGTAGACGGAGATGCGCTTACAGACGGTTTCTAGTAGACCACAATCAAGAGTTCGGATCTATTTGAATTCAAAGCAATGGTGAGTGCTTAAGAGCATGATTTTATATGATATGTATCTTAATTTAATTAATGTAGACAGCAAGGCGTGAGCAGGTCACAACAAGTAATTCTTAATGGACACGATTCCATTTGATCTGTATCCCATTGACACGATAGGGGATATCGACCGTCGTGAATTCTCAAGACTCGAACAAATACAGCAACGGAATTGACATAATCCTGATGTTGCCAAATATGGACAATATCTCTCATTATCCTAATGACCGATTCAAGTATGTACGTAGACAGAGATACGCTTACAGATGGTTTGCAGTAGACCACAATTAAGATTTCGTAGCTATTTGAATCGACAGGAATGGTAATGGCTAATGGACATGATACCGTTTGATTTATATTGCGTTCTTGACAACAAGGGCGGTAGATTGCGAGCCGAAAGAGGATATTGACCGTCGTGGATCGTCAAGATACGAATTTATCGAGCAACGCAGACGATATCATATCTGGCCTGAAGTTGCTAAACATTGACATCGTCTATCACTACGCTTTGACAACTTCAAGGTTTTAGGAGAGCGGGGAATGAAACACTCCGGATTGAGCTATATGTCATGTGCCATAAGCGCTACGCTTTGGCAGAAGTGAAGGATGTGCAAATGTATAATGCGGATACCAGAGGTAGACTAAATACACATTAGCATGAAGGGGGTGGAAAGATATCTACAGCTTTATAAACCTTTTTAATCATGCAGTGTTTTTAATTGATCCGAGACATCAGATCGTATACGGTTGTAATAAGAATTGGAATACAATTTACGCTCGAAATCCTGAATTGAACGCGAAAACGTATGTGACTGGTTATATCCATACCGCAATTCCGCTCTTACGGGCCGTTCGGATGTAATGCCCTCGATTGATGATGCAGCAACGTCGTAGCCATCATTTGTAGCTGAACAACTTCTCACTCTAGAACAGTAATACGAATCCGAGACGCGATAAAGCGTGTCTCACTAGTATTAGAAGCAGCCCTAGCGAGCTCATCAATCTACCAGGCGATCCGCGAGAAAGTGGTCTGCCCTTGCTCATCAAGCAGTGCTAGGAGAGGTCAACCCTCCCGCGGCTATACTTGTGAGCTTCCTCGGTTGTGTCGGCACGTTGCCTATCACTTTTCGATTAAAACTGCGTGTGTCCGATGCGAGATCTCAAACTTGCTCTGTGTTCATCCACTGCCTAGCTTAAGGTACACTTCGCGGTTTGGAACGTGCCGCTGCTTTGAAGTAGAGGGTAGCTCATCTACAGAGGATTGTCGAAACTTTGCTCCGTCTCCTGCAACAAAGCTCTCACAACTGACAGACTCGTAATAGGGTAGTATGGACGCATTTGCTTTTGAATAATCGAAGTGTAGCGGGGCTGCCGTAGCTGTTTGCTTAGAGGAGGCTAACCGAATGCCACCAACCTAACGTTCTATACAAGAGCCAGTACGAGTGTAGCGGATCGCAATAACTCCAAGAGTA